TTTTGGTTTGCTTAAGATGCTTTGGAGGGCTTTAGTTGGTTTGTGTGCTACGGAGATGCCATGTGGTTGCAATAGTCTGAAGGTAGTTTCTGAGATGTTTCTGAGACACTGCCATACATCAGAATACTTGTTCAGATTTAAAAAGAGAAGTATGTTCTTGAGATGATTTCATAACTGATGGAGAACAAGGTATCATTTTTGAAAACCCTAAAAGCATGCAATGTCCATTGTCTTTGTCTTCTTCTTTGACACCAGGTTACTGGAAACATAACCAAGAAGAAAAAACAGTGAGTCATCCAAAACAAAATTAACATATATTTATATGAGGACAAAATGTCTACCTGGAAAAGAAACACTAATGGTACAAGACCACATCAAACACACTGCATTTTTAGTATTCAGGGCTCAACAATTAACTGAATCCCTCAGCTTCTTCCTAAAAACACACAGAGTATGCATGGAAAAATACATTTTGATTTATCAATAAGACCTGTGAGGTTTTAAAGATAGAGTTATTCAAAAACCAAATGCTTTGGGAGACCTGAAGTTGATGCTGCAGGAGAAGTAAAAGAAAAAGAAGTGTAGAAAGAGATCAGGAGAGACACAAAAGAGATCATGGATTTTAAGATAAGGACAAGTTCTACTTCATTAGGAGAAAGCAGAAATTTAATCTAAGCATTTAAGGAGAAAAAGTGCCAAGGCGAAAGAAAGATTTTGGCAGTCAAGTACTGGATAAAAGAATTGTTTTGAATTAATAGACCTTGAAATCAGTGGGACCTTAACACATGGTTAATTGGTCTCATTGATTCTTATGGGGACTGAACTTTCAATCTAAGCTCTTGTTCAAAAGTAATTATGCCCCATGGAATTTCAGGCAACAGTAATTGCCTTTCTTCTAAATCAATAATGTTTTTGCAATAATGCGCACTGGAATTTGATAGAAGGCGCAGCAGCGCTCCTCTCACTATCTCAGGGGAATGATGACAGAGGGTTCATGGAAGATGTAACATTTTAAAAAGATGTGGAGGGAGAAGTATCAAAGGGCTCCTACCTGGATGCCCCAGGCTGTATGACTCTGCCTTATTCCTCATTTCATATTCAGAATGTATAACTTGCAGGAATCCATAATATCCTCGGAACAGAACTTCAAGGACTTCTAGATGTGAAAGTGGATGAAGAGTAATCCTAGTTAAGAGGGAACCAAGATGATTTGGAAAGAATCTGGCTCACATCAACATTATATTCCACAATCCAAGACTCCCTTTTTGGAACTACAACACCTTTGTTGGAGTCCTTGCAACAAATTATCTCAACCATCACTTTGGAAAGAAATTTTGATATCTCCCCCCTGCATACTCTGTCTGGGTGAAGATATCGTTGGTGCAACTCAAATTACTTGCGGTCTCTGGAGAGAAAGGTCATTTGCTATCTCTACTTTGTCCAGTAAACCCTCTGAAGAGGAACAGAATGACAACCTATAAAGCTAAGAGTCAGAAAACAAACAGAAAACAGTTCTAAAACCCATCCAGAGTTTCCAGTTTCTCTTCCAACAACAGCATTAGAAGTTAATGGCAGACCTCGCAACATTGTCCTTTTACAATTTCACAGCAGCAAGCATAGCTCTTTAGAAATGAAAAATAGATTGAATCACTCTTCCCCCAAGACATTTACATTGGAATAGGTCTGTGAAGAGGCAAACGATGCTAAAAAAAATCTGCGTGCCATGCTGATTTCCATGTTGTGTTATGACTGGTGAGTCTTCTGCAGGCTCTGTGCTATTTATATGAAGGTAAGGCAAATGATATCAGGATCAGGACCTCCATGATTTTCCACGTGGTCATTTCAGAGCAGATATTTCTTGAACTTGCATATGAACTATGTATATGCATATGAGATGGAATCTTGGACTTTCAGCCCATTCTTCATATTTTCATATCAGATAATGTCCAATTAATACATAGGCAGAATCATGTGATTTCCACCCTCCTATGTAAATGCACTTGCTTCAACCTCAAATTCATACTTTTGTTTTATATCAGGTTGAGGATTGAAGTAACATGTTCCTGTCAGTTTTCTTCGGAATCTTTTGCTTCTTCATAAATGGAAATGTCGCAAATATTTTAAAATTGGTCTCTCCCTGGCATTTCTTACCTCAGTTGCTGGCTTGGGGCTACTTCCTCCCTTAAAATCCAACCTAGCAGTCTGAGGTTGTTGGGGAAACTCCCTTTTTCCTAACCGTTGTTCATCACCCAAAGTCTAAC